TCATTGTGCACATGTTGTTTCTAAACATCGTCTTATGATGAAATGCTGATAAACTTAGAACATGACATTAAGAATATTACAAGGGAAACACCAAAAGTAAGGTGTACATGAATCTGAAGGCAAAGAGGATTTGCATTCGTCAAGAGGAGAAAACAGGAGAAAGAAATTGGGATGAGACAGACATGAATATTTGGCAAAAATCAGTTTTCTCCTGTGATCACATTGGAATTGTTTCTTTGTTTGCTTGCTTTATTTGGGGGACTGGGGTATGAACATAGGGGCATTTGTGAAGAAGCTGAACAGCTAGAATCACATATTCAGTCCATTTTCCATTGGTTCTTGCTAACTATCTCCCTAAGCTAGCCTTGACTGGCACATTCCTTAGGAGTACTTTGGTACTCCCAAGTACCAAAGATTACAAGCCTGAGTCACCGGTGTTTGGTTCATCTTGCTCTATTTTGACACTTAATGTTTATCTGACTCAGGCTGAGACCTTCAGAGTTGAGTAGCCCAGTAAAAATTCCAGTCACATGTGGTCACAGGAATATACCTGGGACAGGGGAGCAGTACACCCATACTATGTTGAGGGTAAGTTATCAATGCTAAACTTTGGTGCACATATTAGTTCTCTAGGTCCCCAAAGTAGAAGCGCTGGGAAATGTGGCATTCTCCCACATCTACTGAAAAGGCCTTGACCCAGGCAGAAAACTACCAGAGGCTGAACCATCAGACAGACCCCACTAAGTAAAGTACAGGGGATATGCTGGGTTGAGATAGCTCTGGAAAGCCTTTTTGATGATTATGTTTAGGGAGTCCATAGATATGCAAGTACTGCCTAGACACCCAGAACTGTTCATCTACTGGGGTATGTGACATCTCAAGCATATGAGGTAAGTGCATGTGATATAAAACATAAGAGTCAGTCAGAAAATCTGTGGAGACAAGGCTACATGGATTTGTGGGCACAAACCTTGCCTCAGTATGTCCAGAAAGCAGAGTATCAGACCAACAATGATTGCAGCAGGGAATCCAGTCCTCTAAATCCTCCCAGGAGTAATTCTATCTTTCACAAAGCCAACATGAAGCTCTCCTGTGTCTTCAGGCTATTTGCCAGACTTAACAAAATAGAAGACATTTGGGCTGAGGATGGGGTTCAACAGGAAGAGTGCCTGCCAAGCCAGTGGAAGCCCTGAGTTATAATACATTCCTGTCAAATAAATAAATAATTAATTAAAGTCATTCTTTCCACAGTGTGAAAATGTTTGCTGAGACCAGTAGCATCTGCTGTAAAATTTCCAGTGTGAAAATGTTTCCTGGTTAGTTTGAGGGATTGAAATCCCAAGAGACTTCTGATAGATGGATGTTTGCATAAGTCTTCCTGACAGGTGGATTTAAAAAAAAAAATCTTAGGTGGCTTGGTCACAAACATTTGGCACTAAGAACATCATTTAGAGGCAATTCCCTCCTACACTTCTGTATCTGTTTCTTAAAGATGTGTATTGCCATGCCCAGCATTGAGTCTTGTTTCAAGGTGACTTCCTTCCTACTGTCTCTAAAAGATGTTTGTGTTGTGATGCCCTTTTCTGGTTAGCCACCGATCTATGCTTTTTCACTCCCCAATCTGTCTATCCTAGGCTACTTCCTGACACTAGATTGAGAAATACACATATGGTTCTTGATATCTAGTATTGTGGTAGTGATATTAGAGTACATTTGCCACTTCCCCTTGAAGTTTGGGTTGTAGAAATTTCAAGAGTGATGACTTGGTGAAATACATTATTTCCCAAGGCAGTACTTATGGAAAATCAGTCCCACGAAAGAAGCAGTACCAAAAATTGGAAGGATTCTACTGAATGTCATTGGGACATCCTGGTAGTGCTTGTAGGTCGTACTAACAAATTTGTAGATTCTGCTAAAGCCAGGCCCATGGACGTTTTGTCTTTCAAACTTGACTACTCTCTGCCAACAGCCTTTGTTCACTGACATTTTAGTTTTCTGGCCTTTGTTCTTATGGATTTCTAGGGAAGGATGTTAGTGCTTTTCTACAGTGCCTGTTTGCCTTCAGTTCAGAAACAATGCATTGTGGAGGCTGGAAGTGTTGATACTAAGTTTTGAAACTTTTTTGTTTGGCGATGTATCCTTTTTATATCCTTATATGCAGAAATCTAAAGTATATGACTCTATTTCAGTCATAATGATAAACACGTATTACCCTCACTACCCCTTTCCTTCAAGAAATTGGAGAACAGCCTATCAGAGTTATGAGAACCACAGAATCACCCTGATCACACCTCTGACCCAGAAGTAAATTTTTACCATAGCTTCCCCACTAACCTCACTGTAGCTCCCAGGGCAGTCTATTTTCCTTGCTGCCTTAAGATAATTGCTACCTTCATGAGTGGCCTAAAGCTGTTTGTGACCATTCTGTTACATTAGAATTATGCCTTTAAATATACTTTTCATTTTTTATTCCACTATTGGTATCAGGATAACTGATGTGAATGATATTCAGAGAACAAATGAAATCTATGTCAATGTTAGATGTCTTGTTTCACTGTGCAGTTTCTTATGTTAATCAAGTCAGAAGTAGTGAGTTAAGTAAACTTAAGGTGAAATATATATTCCTAGTGAACATGTAATTCACTCTGATGTCAACAAATTTATAACCAACTCATTTATGGTATCAAACTTTTAAGGAATTAATCATTTCAAGTAATAGCACAAATCAGACTTTCTCCTCATTTCCACGAGTCTCCCTGACTCCTCTACAGCTTTTAAAATGTTTACACACTCAGTGTAAGAAAATGGACAAATCATTACCAAAATAATATGTGCAAGAACCATTTAATCCCACTAAAAGTTTGCTGGAAAACCCATGTAAAAAGGCACATACTCTGTTACAGATCAAAAATGAAAGTAGACTCACCTTCTATTACATTGGATAGCAAAAAGGATGGAATTATGGCTGCTGTGGTGAAACTGTCTTGGCTAAGAAGCAGGAAGTCTCTGATGAGGAATAATGAGGGATTAGGAACCATGGCTTATCTGTTAATAAGGAATCACACTGTAGACTAGAGAGCTAATAGTAACAATACAGCAATGTTGCTGACCTGTGACCCCAGGACACTCAACCTCAGCCTGACCATCCAAGCTAATATATCTTCCAACACAGCATCTAGGACATGTTGATGACATGAAGAAAAGTTATGATAGGTACTTTTTTGGCATACTTTTTTGTCTCAGGAACTAATTATCCAGGCTGGCCTTCAAACTGTAATCACCCTGATCTCTACCTCCTGTGTACCTAATGTTAATGGGAAAAAAAGGCATACTGGACTGAAATGTATGCAGAGATGGATGAGGAGATAGAGATGCTAGATTGAAAGCAGCACAGGGACGGCTCAATACCTCAGCACATGCTTTATTGGTAGAATTCTTTGGAGGCAGACCCGAACAAGAGAGCAGGAGCCCACAACTGCTTATAGACTAGGGACAGATATAGACAGTAGGAGAAGTCCAGAAAGAAGGGAGTACCAGGGCGAACTCCCAGAAAGGTCACTGGACAGGAATATCCTCCTTCAGTCCTCTGCCCCTCCAGAGATAATGTGGTCTTAATATGAGGCTGGGTGGGAAATTTCGAATAGTTGGCTAAAGGTGAATGTTTGTTATTCATTAGGGCCAGGTGTAGAGTTTTCTTTCAGTAAGCCAACTGTGATGAGGAAGGGCCCAAATCTCAGGTGCCAGCCCAATACTTACCCTAACAATTAGAATTGCAAGCTTGAACCACCAGCATCTAGCTCACACTAGGAGAGTTAATCATACAAGAAACAGTTTTCCAGATATGACCATCCCCATTTGTACCAACGACAATAAAAGCTTGAGTTCTCAGGTCACCCAGTGCAATAGTGCTACTCAAGTCTTCTCACACTCCTGCTAGGGTGTGCATCTTTGATTTTTTTTTTTTACTTTGCATTACATAAACAAGCCTGACTAACTCTCATATCAGATCAGTAGGACTACCATGTGTTCAGTTGCCCGCTACTTCCCTAGTAAGACTCTTGATTATTCTATTTTCTTTTCTTGATGAATCCTTTTACCCAGATGTGGCATCAAATATCTCTACCACTCTCCTTATATGTCCTTTCTTTATCTTGTATAGAAGTGTAAGCACATGTGCTGTTTGCTGAGGTCAATCCTCCACATTCCTCTTTGCAGTTTGGGAGAGGATTTTAATTAAGCGACCTTTGTTGTCCTATTTCTGGGGTTTTCCTATCAGAGGTAAGGGGTGGTTTGTGTGCATAACTGACTATGTTTACTTTGAGTTGTCCTGATTCTCAAGTATGTTTGCAATTCTCTAATTCCAGCCACAAAGGGTAAAGTATGTAACAAAATCCACTTTTCAAAGTATACTAGAGAATAAATGCTTTAAGGCATTTGAATTCAGTGGAAAAATAAGGAAATCCCCAAACCTGGGCACCAACAGCTCACACCTTAATCCTAATTGGTGAAGAGGAGCAATCTGTAGGATTATGTTTTGAAGCTTGCTTGGGCAAATACTTTGAGGGACCTTATATTAAAATGCTTAAAACACACAAAAAGGCTGCTGGGGCGGCTCATGTGGTACACTATCTGTGCATCAAAAAAAGGTCTGAGTTCAAACCCCAGGGCCAGCAAAAACAAACAAAAAAGAATGGAAGAAACAAATCCTATAGTCATAAAATAAGACCCAAACTGTAGTTCCACTAGGATTATGGACTAAAGTTTACACAGGTCTACACAGCAATAATCTTGAAAACAGAATGAAACAAAGGAAGGGTGACAGAAAGAAAATACAAACTGAGCTAGTTTAATACTAATAACAATCTTGTAACAATACTATTAAACATGCTATATAATAAAGAGATTAACAAATAGCTCTCAGTGGAAAACAAATAGGTCTTCACTGGGTTTAAATTTAAAGAGAAAATTGACAGAACAGGTATAACACAATGGTAGCCAAAAAAAAATTAACATCTAAAAATGAGGAGCAGAGAAATCCAATTTCTACTTAAAAAATGCTTTCTGTTCTCATCTATGCAATAGACAATATGCAAATTGCAATGGGAAACAAGAAAGATAAAATCTGAACACTTTTTCAAGTATCATTTCACATTTTTCATCCCAGCATTTGGAAAACAGAGGTTGGAACATCAAAAGTTCAAAACTTCAATTTTACATCTCCAGTTAAATAAGTTCCTGTCTCAATATAAAATGTTGAACATGCTGAAAGTCACAATCAAAAAGAAAACAAAGGGCTGGCAAAGTGGCTGAAGTGATAGAAAACCTGACAGATCTCTAATTATGTATAAGCAAATTGGCATTGGCTTGAGCCTATAATCCTAGTACATGAGAGGGTGAGACAGGAGGATCATGGTTGGAGATCAGCCTGTGCAAACAGTTCACAGATCCTTGCTCTGAAATAACTAGGAGAAAATGGACTGGGGGCTTGGAAGAGAGTTCCTTCCCTGCCAGCCATGAGCCATGAATCAAGTTTTCTCTTCATACCATGTTTGATCATATCTCTGGAGGAAAGCAGGTGACATGGCATGCTCTTGCTAACAAAAGTTATATAAACTAGGCAGTATCATGAGTGCAAGAATGGAGTTCATGTTGTAAATAGAAGCAAGATAAGTAAAGGCTTTCCCTGAGTACTTCAATACATATTTTAATTTTCTACATTTTCAAGGAGCACTGGAACATGTGAAGGCTTAGCCACATTATACACATGTAGAGCATTGTGCTACAATGTGAATTGTGTCATGTCAAAGAAGATTACTGCAAGGTGAAGGCATTCCTACTTTACTTACATTGATAGTGTTTCTGAGTTCATTCATATCACTATACTGTGATATCTTACAAGTATTTTTTTGGCAATAGGAATGAGAGAAGATATTCCTATATACATTGCTTCTATAAGGATTGTCACAGATTGTATTATTTCACTTGTTGGATGGTGAATAGAATCAATATAGACAGGTTCATTATGCTTACACATACAGATTTTTTTCTCTAGTGTGAGGACTTTCATGTTTGAGGTCATGGAAATGAGAGAAGACTTTCCTAATTACTTTCCTAAACAAGTATTCTCCATTTTAATTTTGTACATTTTGAAGGAGCATTGGAATGTGTGAAGACTTAGCCACATTACACACGTGTACAGGATTGTGTTACAATGTGAATTGTGTCATGTCAAAGATTACTGCAAAGGGTGAAGGCATTCCTACCTCACTTACATTGATAGTGTTTCTGAGGTCATTCATGTTGTTCAAGGAGACTGGGATGTGTGAATGTTTTGTCATATTTGATATGACCCTAGTGTTTATTTACACCATGAATTCTTTCAGGTGCATGAAGGGTACTAGAACTAAGGAAGGCTTTCCACATTCTTACATCCACTAGGTTTGTCTTGTTTGTGTTCTTTGATGAGTATGACGGATACTGAATAAAGTGTAGGTTTTTCCTCATTCCTTACATTTATAAAGTTTCTCTGCATAATGTCACTGGAAATTGTTCATATCCATAGCTTTTTTCTCTAGTCTAAGTACCTTTATGTCTTTTAAGGGTAATGGGGCATTTGAACATTTTGGCCACCTTGGTTATAACCATAAAGTTGGTCTTTGTCTTTCAGGGCTCAAAGGTGACAGGAGTAAGTGAACACATTCTCACATTGCATATATCTGTAAGATTTCACTTCTGTGTGAGTTCTTCGGTGTGCCTGAAGGTAAGCACACTGAGTGTACGCTTTCCCACATTACTTACATCCATTGGGTTTCTCTTCAATGTGAGTTCTTTCATGAATACGAAGGCAACTGGAAAAAGCGTAGGCTTTACCACATTGCTTACATTCATAGGGTTTCTCTCCAGTGTGAGTTTTTTCATGATATCGAAGGGAACTTGAATGACTGTAGGCTTTCCCACATTGCTTACATCCATAGGGTTTCTCTCCAGTGTGAGTTTTTTCATGTATTTGAAGATAACGGACTTGAGTAAAGACTTTCCCACATTCTTTACATCCATATGGTTTTTCTGCACTGTGAGTTCTTTCATGATCTCGAAGGTTATTCACACGAGTGAAGAATTTCCCACATTTGTTACATGCATAGGGTTTCTCTCCAGTGTGAGTTCTTTCATGAATACGGAGGTTACTTGAAAAAGTGTAGGCTTTCCCACATTGCTTACATTCATAGGGTTTCTCTCCAGTGTGAGTTCTTTCATGATATCGAAGGGCACTGGAATCAGTGTAGGCTTTCCCACATTGCTTACATCCATAGGGTTTTTCTCCAGTGTGAGTTCTTTCATGATATCGAAGGGCACTTGAATCAGCATAGGCTTTCCCACATAGCTTACATCTATAGGGTTTCTCTCCAGTGTGAATTCTTTCATGTATTCGAACATAATGTGCATGACTAAAGACTTTGCCACACTGTTTACATCCATATGGTTTTTCTCCACTGTGGGATCTTTCATGATATCGAAGGTTACACACACGAGTGAAGAATTTCCCACATCTGTTACATCCATAGGGTTTTTCTCCAGTGTGAATTCTTTCATGAATACGAAGGGAACTGGAAAAAGGGTAAGCTTTCCCACAGTGCTTACATCCATAGGGTCTCTCTCCAGTGTGAGTTCTTTCATGTATTCGAAGATAATGTGCTTGAGTAAAGACTTTGCTACATTGTTTACATCCATATGGTTTTTCTCCACTGTGGGATCTTTCATGATATCGAAGGTTACACACACGAGTGAAGAATTTCCCACATTTGTTACATCCATAGGGTTTTTCTCCAGTGTGAATTCTTTCATGAATACGAAGAGAACTGGAAAAAGGGTAAGCTTTCCCACAGTGCTTACATCCATAGGGTCTCTCTCCAGTGTGAGTTCTTTCATGTATTCGAAGATAATGTTCTTGAGTAAAGACTTTGTTACATTGTTTACATCCATATGGTTTTTCTGCACTATGGGATCTTTCATGATATTGAAGGTTACACACACGAGTGAAGAATTTTCCACATTTGTTACATGCGTAGGGTTTTTCTCCAGTGTGAATTCTTTCGTGACTATGAACGGTACTGAAAAAAGTGTAGACTTTCCCACATTGCTTACATTCATATGGTTTCTCCCCAGTGTGAGTTCTTTCATGAATATAAAGGGTACTTGAATCAGCATAGGCTTTCCCACATGGCTTGAAAACATAGGGTTTCTCTCCAGTGTGAGTTCTTTCATGTCTCTGAAGGTTACTGGCTTGACTATAGACTTTCCCACAGTGCTTACATTCATAGGGTTTTTCTACACTGTGAATGCTTTCATTAATATGAAGGTTACTGGAAGGAGTGTAGGCTTTCCCACATTGTGTACATCCATAGGGTTTCTCACTAATGTGAGAAGTTTCACGAATGTGAAAGGTACCAGATGGAGTGAAGATTTTACCAATTTGTTTCCTTCCATGAGATTTCACTACATTGTGTAACCTTTCATGGATTAGAAGAGCCAAGCTATCAGTAAAGGTTTCCCCATAAGCATCACATATATTGCTTTTACATGGTGCTGTTCTAAGAACAGTATCCTTGCTTACAATGTTCTCTGGAGTCTGTTGAAAGGATTCTGCACATTGAATACATGGTTTATGTTCACGCAGTCTCTCTAACATTTCAGGGCTGTAAAACAGACAAAGATTACCATTGTTATACTATTAATGATTTATTAGGAGAAGTTATGGTGTTTGTTAATGTGAGGATTTATAAACACAAATGTATTACATGTTCTGCAGCAGGGCCTGAGGACAGCTATTACCAAACAGTGGTGTTCACAATGTGTTTCCATCATACTATTTCCACGTTAGGTGTTTAACAACACTGAATGAATTTTACTACATTCAAATACACTTAAAGAGCTTATTGAGATGCCTTGGATCAAAAGCATGTTGGATTGCAAAATAAAAGAATGAACATGAGGACAAAGGTTGAAAAATATGTCGGTCTATACCAGAGCACATAATAATCCCATTGTGATGGAACTTGACATAATATAGTTAATTTAGTTTGTGCACAGAGTGGGATTATTTCCGTATATTGAGCAATAGGACAGTGTCTTTTGTGACTTCTTAGGAAAAAACATCATGAAAAATGGCACATATCAGACTTTGAATTTTCTGATTGTGGATGCTTAACTTATTTTTCCAATCTTTTTAAGCAATTTATGAGTAGAAGTTTTGGTCTCATTTTTTTTGTTTTCAAACTCTTGTCAATGCCACATCTGATGTTCATGGTTTTGGTTATGAGGAAAAAATTACCTCGTATTTCTTCTGGGATTCCTGAAATCCTCTTCAATGTTTTCATTTTCTTCTTTTGTTTGTTAAGATACAGACACAGAGAAATTATTAGTATTTAATCCATATGAAAGAAAAAGTTGAGACCTCAGATATTTTCATGATATAATATGATCAGTCATATATATGAACAATTACTGTCCCTTTTAAACACCCTATGAGGCAACAACACCAATGAACCACAACAGCAGTGCACACTTTGATTAAGGTAATGATGCCATACTTACCTATGTAGGACAGGTTGCTATAGGTTTCTAGCATCACTTCTCTGTAGAGCTTCTTTTGGGAAAGATCCAAACAGCTCCACTCTTCCAGGGTGAAGCTCACGGCAACATCCTCAAAGGTTAGGGGCTCCTAATATGTCACATACACATTTGTGAGAAGAATTGTGAGTGTCACAGCAGTGGAAACCGACAATCTCTGTGTAATAAATTCACATGCTGATATGTTCTCCACATATTCAATGCATTTTATTTTTATCACTCTCTCATCCTCCATCTATATGCACAAGTACATCATAATAATTCTGCCATATCCCTGGACATATTTGCTAAATTCGAAGCAGAACGTGGTCACAAAAATTACATGTTATACACTGAGATTGTAGCAATCTACTAACAAATTCCTTCCTCTTAGTTCCCATTGGAGTAATATCAGGTGCAAACAGAATGCAGGAATAATGTTTATACTACATGAGTAAAAGTTTTATGTCTATTGCCACTGCAGAACTGCTAATGGGATGAACCTTGCCAAACCAAATATAAAATGTAAAAAGGGGACAGTGTCCCAAAGCAATTTATTCCAATAATATACTATTGTGTACGTACTATTTAAAATTATTTGCATATTTCTGCAAGATTCACCAGAGGGAGTATGTACTAAGAAAACCCACAATGCACTCATGGTCATGAATAGAAAGTTGATGTGAAAAATAGTATTTAATATCTTTCCAAAACAATTTTTTAATTTTTTGGGGAATTGAGCACCTCCTTGGTAACTGTATCAAGAGAGAACATTTGGAAGCTTCTACCTGGTTTAGAACAAATCAGCCCAAATTTAAAGCTAAATAAGACTCATGAAGGATCATTCACATATGTACAGTTTTTGCTTTAGCAAGCAAAAACATAATGTAGAAAGGAGAAATGCGACATGTGTCCCTAGAAATAGATTTCAACTAGCAGTATACAATTTTACAATTTCTAAAATATACCTTAAAACTCATGAACAAAACTATTTTTGAAGTGTAATCAGTGTCATAAATTGCAAACAGCAATTAAAAATAACTGGAATGAGAAAGTGATCACTTGAATCACATGTGGAGGCCTAATCTTGTAATTCCACCAGAAGGACCTCAAGTTAAACGTTGGAGTGATCTACATAGCAAGAACCACTGTCAATAAAGGAAGAATAATAATGAAGAAGAATGGAAGAGAGCAAGGGAAAGAACACAAAGTGTCCTATTGTGTAAAATTAATAAACAACGTTCAAACTACATTATCCAGGACACTGTACTCTAACAAAGATTAACAAATAAGTCTCAGAGGAAAGTGAACCAGTTTCCCTTGATGTTAAAGTAAGAGAAAATTCACAGAAGACACATCATACAATGTTGACTAAGAGCAAAAAATCTGGAACCCAGTTTCTCCTTGAAAACACACATTATATTCTCCAATGTCGTGGACAATGATCCAGTTGCATGCAAAATAGGAAAGATTAAATCTGAATACTTTTGAAGTCGTGGTGTCACATGCCTGTCATTCCCAGCATTTGCAAAACTAAGTTGGACTAGCATATGTTCAGTGTGATCCTGGCATGCATCTCTAGGTCAAGAGCTATGTATGAAGTCTCTTTGTGAAAGTAACACAAAAAGAAGAGCATTTGGAAACTCATTACGAAGGAACATACAAAATGAAGGTGGAATGTGAATGTATTAGAGTGGCAGAAGACAATGAGGATAAATATCTACAATGCAAACAAAATAAAAGAATTAGTGTACTGCATACACTAATGAATGAGAACGTGATTGAAAAATGCACGTCTTTTCAACATAAGACACCATGTATGAATCAAGATCTATGTGACAGATTTAGGAATTAGCTGAGCAAAACAAGTGTTCAAACTCCAAATACATCAGATGAGTGTAATGCTTGAATGGAGTGGCAACTAATGCAATCTCCACTGACATTTCTTTAATTCTAATTGTGAAATAGAGTCCTGAAATTGTTTCTAATACCCACAGGACATATTATGAATGATAATCAGAACTATGTTTCCCATCCTGGAGAAGACATACAGCAAAGACCCAAAACCATGACCACTCTAACAAAAGTGAAAATACTGTAGTTCAGTATCACATGTAATGGACTTTGTGAAATACACACAAAGACAGCACCCAGAAAGCTTCTCTATAGACTAGGTCTAATACTTTTTCTAATTCCAAATGATCAAAAATAGAAGAACACTGTTTAATGGATAGGATGGAAATAGTAGGGAAAAAGATTAAGGTGGTATCCATCTACTGTAGTAATGTGTGTACAGACCCTCTTCATTCACATCTACCGGGGCATCTAGATACCTTGTGTGATGCATGTGTCCTTTCACTACCATCTCCTCATGAGAAAATTCTAGGCTTCTACACTTATATTTCTCAGATGGGAAAATCTCAATTCAATCACTTGAAATTTCTACTAAAAAAAACATCAAATGCAAAAACTCATTCTCTATGAGACTACCAAAATGTAGTTATCTTTGACTCTGACTCTCACAGAAACTCTTCATTTGTTTATAACAGCCACAGTTACACCTTTAAAAAGGAAAGAACACCCACCAGCATTTACCTGTGGCTCACCTGACTTCAAGTACTATGCAACTTCATACTGGCAACACACCTTCTCAGGGAAAAGCAGACTTTGTTGAGTTCTATAGATTTACATTACTCTTCGGGAAAAATTCATTGTGTTCATAAAAAATGTTTTTATTGGTTATTAAATTTTGAATTCTGTAACACTTGCATCCAGTTGGCTGATGAGCATATTGAATTAAATACCATCATGTTCTGCATTTTTCTCCTTTTTAATTTTTTGGTTGGATAAGGTTTTGAATTCAGGGCTTTAGTTTTGCAAAGCAGATATTCTACCAGTTGAGCTACATTTGCAGTCTTTTTACTCTGGATATTTTTGGAGTTGGGAGTTCATGAAATATTTGCACTTCATCATAAACACTGCAATATGAAAATAAGTGAATCCTCAAGAAAGTAAATGAATACCATGGTGGTACATCAATTTCTCAGCATAAGCATACCATAGGTTCTATTACATGCACTGGAAAAAACTAAACAAAATGATACAAACAAAAAACAAATGAACAAAATGAATTCAAGCGTTAATTAAACATATAAAAAATTCTTTGTATTATTTTATTGGTTTCTTCCTAGTGTTAACTTCCTATTTCAAACCAACTAAGCAATAACTTTCAAAAAATGCCTATTCCAATTACCAAAGTAAAAGATGATTATAAGACACAATTCAGAAGGAAAAACTTGCTGGACCCTGGAGCCTCATACTCATCATCCTAACTACTTGGGAGGCTAAAGTCAGTAGGATCATGGTTGGAGGTCACCCTGTTCATCTGGGTGAACCTCACTAACATATATTCAGAAACCACTTAAAGGGTGGTTAACAACCAAACAACCAAAGTTGTTCCTATTGTTCAAGATATTCTAAGAGTTTTAGTAATTCTGTAATAGAACCTGTGATGAAGAGCAAACACAGCTGTTTTAAATATGTCACCCAAAAAAGTAACCTCTCAAGTGAATAACTTCTTTCTGGAGTTTAGGATCTCTGCTGTAGATCCTAAAGGTCTCTGACTTTCCCAACGTCCATCACAACTTCCACAATTGTCACAAATTACATTGTCACTACACAAATTCTATGAAGGAAAATGCAAACAACTGAAAACTTACCCAAGCACAGTAATCTTGGTAACACTAGATAAGACCACCACACCACCGGCCTTCATGTTCCCATTATACTTACATGCCCAACAAGGGAAGGACACACTTTTGATTCTTCCACGTTCCACCTCAAATTCATTATCTTACTTGATCAGCTGAAAAACAACCCTAACTATACACACTATCCTAATGAAATTCTCTACTCTTTCCAGTCAGTCTCTGGCTCACCATCAGCCTGAGCCACTGTATCAATCCATCCTTCATTGTCACAGGAAACACAGTCTCAGGGCTAAGGATCTCTGGTCAGGAGCTAATTTGGGCCCCTCTTTTACCCATAACCTCTCAGGTTCTTTTTACTACTTTTTGCTCTTCTTAACTACTCTTTAAATAACAGCCCTTCTTTGCCTTGCCTTGACACATCCCACTTGCCATTTCTTATGTCCTCTTCCTCCTAGGGTCTGGATGCAAGTTACAAACAGCATTTCAGCCTTCTTTGGTGAGTGAAGTTCTGCTCACTCACCTTGGACCATGTTCAAGCCACAGTAGGAGAAAGACTAAATTACATAGAATTGCTCTCAGTATCACAATGTGATCCAGAAAATGTCCAGAGACCAGAAGGCATTTCCTGTATAAATCAGAGGGTCCTACTTACACCAGACTGTGATTTCCCGAATTCCAAAGCACTTCTCACAGACTAGAAATCCAGAACCCACTCCTTGAGATCTAGTAACATAACAAGTAATCTCCTACCAGGGAGGGTGCATAAACTAAGTAATTGAATTCGGGAACAGCCCTCAGCAGTTCAGGCCTCCTCCCTGGTGCCTACCCACCCCAGCCTGGGGATTCGTTAAAGTTAAGAAGAACCTGTTTTTCAGAATGGACCTTTCTTCAACTGGGAGATGGAGCCTGCATATGGTGAGAGAATTTCACACTCACTTTCCATGGGGACACCCTGTGATCTCAGAAAAGTTGTGGTTCTAGGCCAGGCCAAGAAAATGGGAAAATTTTGCATGAAGATAATATCATATCCATTCTTCACACACAGCAACAAATGAAAACAAATATGAAGAAACAGGGAAATGTGCATCTTCAGTTAAAAAAGCATCATAGGCATTCCTGAGACTGCTTTTCCCAAAAAGAATGGACTCCATACTCAGTCCATGAATTGACTAAAAGAAGGAAAAATATGGCACCTACCATTTTGAATAAGTCTGTTCTCTGAGTCATCCTCAGCAGTCACCTTGCAGCCCCCTTGGAATCTAGGAAGGAGAAGATAGATATTTTCTTCATGACCTGAAGCCAAATCAACCTGCAACAGCAGACCCTCCTTTGGATGGATCATCCTCTGGAAACAACTCCAGAACCTCTCCCATATCAACAGCTGAGTTATAACAACTATACCACACCTGTGACTGGAACTATTTAACTGTGCATATCTTTGCTCCCTGCCCCCAGTTCTTTGCCTATTTAAATCTATATCTCATGTCTGTACCCTGCATATGGTGAACATGACATGAGAACTTACAATGCCTCATCCCACACCACATACTAGTTGTGAAATAATACTCCTTTCTCTGCCTTCACCATGCCTCTTTATTTGAAATTGAAGGGTAACTAGCTGGACTTACAATGTGCACTCAGAGGAGTTTGTGCCCTTGGTCCAAAATTCTTTTTTCAGAAGGAGAAACTGACTACTGAAAAATCTCAGGCAGTGGACTCATTGCACAGAGCCTTTTCTTGGAACTGTTTAAAGTAGAATCAAAGGATTGTAGGAAAGCATGCAGAAGAAACAGCAAAGTGGAAATATTATATACAAAGAAGATCATATCAGTAGCAGACTTCGAAATCATCAAAGGATTACACAGAGAGCATGAAGATGGATATACAAGTTCAATGAAACCATCATTAGAGGTGCTTAATGGTGGACTAGAGGAAGAAGAACAAAGAGTCAGCATGAAAATGATTGAAATGATGCAGCTAGAAGAGAAACAGAACACTTTTAAATTCACAGAATGTACCACAGGTATCAGAATTTTGTAATGGTTGAAAGATCTCTAGAAACAAAAACATATAAGCTAAGAACTTAGATCATATAAATAAAGTGTTAGGAAGTTGGAAATGAACAAAAATTCTTTACTTTCTTCCTCACTACTGGTGCTAAAGGACAACCTTTTCCAAAAGTCATTCAAAGTGAATCATGGACTAGGTGATCATCCCTTGTAATATGAACAATCAGTAAGAACAATGACATATGGGTAGAAGTATAGTAGTGGGGACATAGCAATATATCTTTCCCGTTGATGAAGCACCACATCTTTATTTGAAATGCATTTAACTTACTTGGAAAAGGATTTTATGTTTGGGAAATTACTAACAATACATTTTAAAAGTATTTAGTATTATAAAGGGGGATAGAAAATGTGATAATATAATTAATAAATTACTGCACCTGTCCGACTGGCTCAAGTGGTGTAGTGCTTGCCTTAGCAATCACAAGACCCTGAGTAATAAATAAGTAAATAAGTAGGTAAATAAAGGACTTCAGCAAGATTGTACTACACCAGCTATATGCAAAGCACATCATTTTGCTAAATTTATAATAATCCTCTGAACTTCACACAATAGAATACCATTTACACAGAATGAAGGAACGGTAAAAGAAAACTGACATGCAGAGATAGGGTGAGATGGGAGCAATAGTAACTTGAAGGAACAAGCACAAAAACTGCTCAAAACCAAAGGTTATCAGCATAGTACAAAAAACAGCATACAAAGATGTTTAAATGCTAAATGGACAAGTGGAATAATCAGAACATCCACATATTTTCAAATCACAGAACAAGCAAACAATAAAACGTTAGATAAAATCATACATTACCAAAACTTTGCAGTAAATTTAATATATCCATACTCTACAGAGCACCAATGCCACAACCCCCACCCTAAAAGAATATTCTGCTAACAGGGAATAACACCAGGACAATGTTACATAATTAAAATGAGCAAAATCTTTTGGGTCAACCTTACCACAAGGGATATGGTTTATGGGCTTGAGTCTTTGGGAAAGATCTATTATTCCAGAAACTGTTGTCATGCACCCACTGTGAGGTGAGGGAAATACTCAGAGTCACCTAACATCCTGTGACCTTCTTGTACACTCCCCTTGAAAATGGGAGGTCAGGTTTACTCAGAGAATTCTAGACTCAATATCCTACCGAAAAAATTCATCAGGTCAGTTAAGGTGGGGAGATTCAGGTAGGCTAGGACACAGGAAGTCGATGCAGGGCTGATGCTCAAACTCTGGAAACTGGAATGAAGCAGAGGGCCAGGAATTACACATTGCCAAAAAAGTGTCACCTGACACATCTCCCAGCAGCAGGCACATGGCAAATATGTGGATGATGTTTTAGGTAATGTAAATGTGCTACCACTATCTGCAGAATAGCTAAGGTTACAGGCGAGAGCCACCAGTCCCTGGCTTAGGTTCCCATTTAATTGTGTATTCCCTGTATTCCATTTTGTTCTATTAGGATATCAACTATTTTATTATTTTTTATGTTACGTTAATTCATTTTGCAATGTGTACTTGCAGTTTATGTTAATGCAGTTTGTTCCTTTTGCTTCATGTGTGTGTGTGTGTGTGTGTGTGTGTGTTACTGAGTTTAGCCCAATACCTTGTAATAGTTAGCAAAGCTGTCTAGTGGTGAGCTACATCCCTGTATCTTTTTATTTTGAGACAGAATCTCACTAAACAATCCTGACTGGCAGCCAATTGACAATCTATGTGCAACTTCCCCCCCTTAGTGGCTGGTATTTTAATTGTATAGGAACACAACTGAGTCTTTCATCCACATTTTTGTGATTCTGACATTGAATGTTCCCCTAGCACTTCTTCAGCAGGCACATCTAAGGCCTTCAGTAACATTAACAAATAACATTAAACAGCCTCACAGTCAATGCAGGTATCATGGAATGCTCCAGTGTCTTCCATTCCATAACCATATTTATTTCCTCTCATACATCATTTCTTCTCAGCAATCATAAGCACAGATTACTTATATTTATATATGATAACAAATGTGAATATATGGTTTTGCAGACAGGAAGCATGGCTCAAGTGTTAGATCATGTGCCTAGCAAATCTGAAGCCTTAACTTTAAACCTCAGTATGCCCAAGGGAGAGAAATGATTTAGTGTATCTTCACTTAATTCTTTTCACTCTTAACTCTTTCTTCTGGGATCTTTATTTCTCATCACCTTTTCCTTCTATCCAAAAATTCATTGGAAGTTTTGAAATACTAGTGCACATGTGATACATTCTGTAAATAATATTCAATTTTCATTCTATTGTTCAGAAACCAATTGCTTTAGGAAGAAGTGTGCAACCTTAGAGAGGTGTCAAAAGAGAAGACTCTCCAATTCCAAGTCATCTCTTAAATGTGAGAAGGCGTGGCTTATGAAGTAGAGCACCTGCTTTACAAGTGCAAAGCCCTGAGTTCAAAACCCAATTCCACCAAAAAATGTGTAATACATCTTTTTTGGTAGCATGAAAGTGATGCTGAAAATTATCAAATATAAGATGCCTTTGTAAAGGATGGCAAAAATTAAGTGCCTGAAATCATACTATCAGGGCAATGCAAAAAAAGGGGGTTTGTTTTTGTAAACTTTGATGATCACACATCAAGGATAAAATAATAATTCAGAAATATCATAGTGTGTGCTAGTTTGGCTCATGCCTGTCAGCTCTTCTACTCAGGAGACAAAGATTGGTAGGATCATGGTTTGAGAACAACCTGGGCAAAAAGCTAATGCAACATCATCTCAGACAGTAACTCTGCATTGCGGTATATGCAAGTAATTCCACCTACGTGGGAGTTGTCTGTGGAAGGACTGTAGTATGAGACAGCCATAGTCAACATGGGAGACCCTACATGCTACTAAAATAGCACTGACTAACTTGGGAGGCTGCCTTGAGCTCCAGATATACATATGAAAAATGCAGATTGTACTTAGTTTGGAGTTTCTCAAACTCAGTAGTACCTAATAAAATTCAGGAGCAGATCATTCTGTTCAGTGGGCTCCATTTTGTGCATCCTAGGATGTTTGACAGCATTCCTGGTCTCCACCAATTCCTTCAGGCATGAAGAGCTAAGTGCAAGTTTCTGAATATATTAGATGTGCCTCCTCCACCAAACAGAAGTTATGCACTGGAAACCCAAGGGACTTTTTTAATGCCAGGTAGAAGTCAGTAGTGATGTCCCTTGGAAGTTAGGACAATTTATGGAGAAAATGTAATAAAATGTGAATGGACTTAACTTCTAACCTGATGTTCAGGGAAAAGAGAATCAGCAGGATGTTTTTCTTCCCAGACTACTGCCCAACAGGGAATCTGGCACTCACAGCATTAATAACAAGGAAAACACAGCTAACAAGTAGCTATATGGAGCTGTAAATGTCTTTTCTGCTGTTGTCACTCAGTGTGCAACCACTGGCTGGACAGGATGCAGTGGTTGCATTTGTAGTTCTAATTCGTTCTGGGAAACCAGAGCTTTGCTGTTTCTTGATGTTTTGTCTAGCGAAGAATTATATTCTCTATCCTCAATCACCTAGGGTTGACTTCTACAAAAATCTTCATCTCTGAGGCCCCACAGAGGTAAGTCAAAGAGCCCTCAGCAGAAAAGGTTCACAGAGAATGAAAGCTGAGAAACTTTACTGAAGGTAACCTGAAAGCCATTCCAAATTAGAACATACCTGGGAGATTGTTAATTCTTGTTTGCTTGGTGGAGTTAATTCATAATTAATTTTTAATGTGCTAAAATCAGAAATGTTTGTTAGACTCAGCAGGGTAGAAAAGGAACTGGCTGATACAGAAGTACAACTAAGTAGACTACAGAGCAAAAAGGAGGACGTAAGTGGTACCACTTGAGATGGAGGCACACCTATATTTCAAACACTCAGAAGGCCTAAGAAGGAGGACTGCAAGATCAAAGCTATACCTGGACTGCATAGTGAAAATCTGTATCAAAACATTTGAGGGAAACCATTCAAGCTTTGACAAATGTACATATAAATCTATAGATGATCTTATATACATGTATCTGTTTATATATATGTATGTGTATATATACTTATGCATAAATAAATATAGAAAGAATAGATTAATGGTTCTGTCTGAGAAGATGAAAAAGAATGTTAGAAAATGAAAACTTGTATCTGTGTATAAAGACAATACATAATCACTTGTAGGCTGTTGAATAACAGGGGAGCAAGGCAATAAAGAAAGAATAAATAATGGACAGGGTTAATCTGTCCATATAATATGTATATATTATACTTTAATGCCAAAGAGAAATCCCTTAAACTCTCAATATACATTTAAAGACATTAAGCACAGGAAGGTTAAAAAAAGTCCTATCTGGAGGTGGGTACCAGCAGGATGGGGGAGTGCATAAGAAAGGCTGAAGAAGGGCAAAGAGGGTGGATTTAATTTGTGTACACGTATGAAAATTGAACAATGAAATTTGCTGAATTGTTGTAAGAACTGGAGGGGGGATAAGGGAGAGTGATAGACGGGGTAAATATAAATAATATTTATTGTATGTATACATGTAAATAATTAAAAAGAAAAAAAACACGGTGCTAGTAAAATTGAATTGTATTCATGTCTCAAAGTTAAGGAGGCAGAAATATTAAGTTTGAGTGACTTACCATTACTAAAAAGTGCAGGCAATATTCCTTGCCAATTCTCCTTTGAAGCTGTCATTTATGGGCTTTACATTTCTTAGTCTTTCCTCATGCTTGCAGAGCTCTGTATACAGTTGACAAAATGTTTACTTAATAGGTGAGAAGGGGTATAACAATAAGCTTTATTTTGCAATGAATTCCTTGCTTATAAGACTGAGGGTAATCCCAGTATTCATCTACTGTACAGTTTTTACAAGCAGATGTTTTTGTGTTTGTCTTTGTTTTTTGGCAGTACTGACAATCGAACTCAAGGACTTCAGGTGCTCTACCATCTGAGCCACTCCCCCAGCAATATTTGCGACATTGTTAAGACATTAACTTTATGGTAAGCAGTGCACGTGAGTTCTTTGCTCTTGTATGGCGGGCTAGCAGTATTTTGTTCCTGTTTTTGGATGCATTCTTTCAAAAGTAAGAACATTGTTTTCAATAACATTTCTCTTTGCTGTTTAGAATTTTTTGTATTTTTAGGCATATTTGGAAAGAATGTATCAAGGTACCAATTTGGATTGGTCTTAATTATTAATTAGCCATATTGTATAGCCCTCCTCATTACATTTTAACCTTAGATAATATGTAGAACAAAAAAAAAGTCTTGCAATAGTTTTAAGTGTGGGGGATTGGAGTCTGGGGAAGAGATAGTGGGGTGATCTAACCAATATACAAGATAAGCCTGTTTGGAATTTTCACAATGCATCCCCCCAGTACAATGAATATTTCCTAATTTAAAAATTAAGGGAGGAAATAATTTCAAAAGCTTTCTACATTCTAATTGGTATTGCCATTTTTTCACAGGTATTCTTCTTTTAAATTTTTTAATTGACACATAATTATGTACATATATGTTAGGTACAGTGTGATAAGTTCACACATGTATGCCATATGTAGTGATCAAGTGAGGGTAAAGAACATCTACTTAAATATTTATCAGTTTTATTTTATAAGACTTCAACCACCCTTCTCTCATTATTTATAAAACATATTCTAAGTTCTATGCTCTACTGACCCTACTGCGCTACAGAATATAAAATCTTATTTCTTCTAGGTAACTGCATTATCTACCTCCTTCTTTTATGTTTCCTCCTTCCCTTCATAGTCTCTAGAGACCACCGTGATATTCTCTTCTATGAATTCAACTACTGAGACTTCCCCATATGAGAGAATGTGTGGCCCTTATCATTCTCTGTCTGACTCATTTAACATAACTCCATGTTCTTCAGTTCTATCCATACTGCCACAAATAACAGGGCTACATTTCTGTGGCTGAAAATTTTTCTGTATATATTTGCATATATATTGATAGCTATATCTCTGCATATGGATATAAATATATATTATTTTCTTTCTTCATTCAGCAATGGACAGTGGCTATTGTATAGTGCACCAATGAACCAATGAATATGGGTAGTATCCCATATTCATGTATCCATATTCATTGGGAATATGGGATACTACCCATATTCATGTATACCTTGGTAGTCTGATTTAATGTGATGGGGTCTATTTTTAAACTTACATGCCTGTGGCCTTAATAATTAACATCTTTTTCTTCTGGTGATAAAGCATCAGCCCTTGCACATGCTAAGCAAGCACAATGCCAACACTGAGCTACCTCTGTGCCCTAACCAGCTCTCTTTTTGAACATCAATTATCTGCCTCCTATAAAACAAATTCTTTGGTATTCACTTGAAGGTTACCTATGCTTTCCATAGCATATCTTAATTCTTTCATGTTAAAGATGAAGTTATGCATTTAGATACTGCTTATTCCAGTTTTTATTTATATTGAAATAAATATATCTAATTAAATATATTCAAATCCATGCTATGGACTGCTAGGGATGAAATTCAGGGCTTAGGGCATCCTAGGCAAGCACTCCATCACTGAACTGGATGCCCAGCCATCATTCCAGTTTATTTGGCTTTATTTTTGTCATGTTGGGGATTTAACCCAGAGCTTTTTGTTTATTAAGCAAGCATTTTGACTCTGATATACACTCAGCCCAAAGAAGATTTTATTTTAAAATTATTTCCAAGCCTTTGCTAATTCAATCTTGAATTAGAAAGCCCTGTTGATGTGATAGCTATTTTACCTCTTTTTTAGATTGTTTATATCAGCTTTTTATTTGATTTCACTTAATATAGTTGGTTTAATTCCACTGATCTTGTTTTTCCTGCCATTCTTTACATAAATTCCTAATTTCTTAAAATTTGTTTCCATATAAGTGCACAATTTTTATTAGCATGTAAGAGTTGTGTGACAGGGAAACATTGTGTCATTTACATATATGCTTACAATATATCTTAATTAGATTCAACCCCTCCATTATTTCCCCTTATTAGGACAGTGTCAACAGGTTCTATTGTTCTGTTGTTATACATGATTACAAAATACATCCTCCTTATTCTTCCCTTTCATTCTCTATGTTTTATCTCTCCCTCCCACTGTAACCCACTCCTAGACAAAACCTGTTTTGATTTTCTATACTTAATATTTTAAAGTGTATATTGATTCCACCTTTGATTAATTGCAAAAGTGAACAAAGCTGGTGAAGTTCTCACTCAGTTTGATTTTACAATACAATGGAAATGGCAGAGTCCAATTAAGTACATAAGTGACATAATGTCATTAGGAATGAATCATGTGAAGAAAGAGGATCCATTGCCATGTCACTGGTGGATCTTACAGTATTTGCTGTGGGAAGGAAGACCTTTGCATGTTGGATATAGAACAGAATGGGGGCTCAAGGGGACCTGTGAGATTTGTCAAAAGATATAAAATCATCAAACCTATGAAAATGATGAGAACATGCCACAAAGCAAAGTAAGGAGAGGGCCTGACTGGTGCCCTATGGGACCCAAACACCCACAAAAGGGTGGTCAAATACACACAGAACGAGTACAAGAGCAATAAGTAGGTCTTGGACCAGATGTGAATAACATAATGAGGAAGCTGGAGCAATGTGTCTGCTCCCTTTGTACATTTTTGAATCTCAAGGCAACTTTAGCACCATGCTGGATGTTGGTTCTCTCAAGGAACATTTTTTCAGGCTCTCCATTGTTGCTTCCTTTCCCTTATTAGCTTGAACTACAACAGTAAAAGTGTGGATGACACTCATGTAATGGATTATAGCAAAGCATAGTCTCACTACCTCATGGATTCTGATCTCAATATGTGGAAAATATTTCTCTAGCATGATCTCTTCTCTATGCCTATGTTAACATCTTCCTGCTTCTTTTCTTTCCCTCATCATCATAAATTTACATAATACTATTTCCTCTCATTTTTTTCATATGTTTTCAAATTCAGATCTTCTTCTCAAATACATTTTGTGGACGGGGGTGACACATATGTTTCTACAAGCACCATGACACTCATTATCCATCTAGAAAGGATAAAAGACATACAATTAAGTATACTGTTATTGCCCTACATCTCCATAAAATCTATGTGGAAAGTGTCATTTAACTGTGGGAATGTTTTTAGAATTTTCACAAAACAGCTGAGTCCAAGGAGTCTTGAAAGAGTAAATTACATTTTACAGATGTAGAGGTGTGAAAAATTCCAAATACATCAATGGGTGGGACCTCACAGAGAGGACAGAGGTTGAGCATGAAATATCTGGCTTCTGGTGAAGCTGAAACTGAACTTCAATTTGGGGAACAAATGTGGAAAGGGCAGAGCAATGTGAGAGACAAGCTGGTCTGTTAGTCACAGGGAGTCAAGCCTCATATTTGAGACAACAGAACTTTCTTCCACTTCATTCTCCAATAGGGATCAAATAGGTCCAAGACTTGGATGACCTTTTAGTAAGGCAAAAATTGCCAAATCAAGATGAAGTTACTCTTGTCAAAGACTTTCTTCAGAGATGGGAAAACATGACAAAAGGAGATCTTATTCTTTCTCAATAAAATAAGAAATGTCTCAAATACTTTCTAAATATTATCCCACCACAAAGTCCTTCAAACGCTCCATCTTTTTCACACCTCACATGTATTTATTTTTTATTAATGTATATTGATTATATAAAGGGATTTCACTATATTTCCATACATGCATATAATGAACTTTGATTAAATTCAGCCCCTCTATTACACTTAGGTATTCCCTCTTCCCTTTTTAAATAATTTAATAGATTTCATTACTCTATTTTAATACTTGTGTATAAAGAATTTTGACATACACTCTTAACCTTCTCCTTCCCCTCATTTAAGTCCCTATTTTGCATTCATTTCTGTAATTAAGGTTATCTTGCACATTACTCAAAATTGCTATATTTCAAGTAAGATGTTCTGCCAGGAAGGTCACTTCCACCAATGAGCAGATGCCAACCTCTGACTCAGGTCTCCAAGATTGATTCGGTTTATGTCCTAATGAAGCAGCTTACATGCATTTATTCCCTTTACTAAGAAATACTTCCTTTATCTTTCTCTCTTTGGATGCAAGTGTGGCTTGCCACAGACTATGTCCCAGAATATAATCATGCTTGAATGGACTGGCAATTGATGCAATCTCCATTGACATTTCTTTAAGTCTAATTAATTAATTAATTAATTAATTAATTAATTAATTAACAAAGTGCTGAAATTGTTTCTAATACCCGCAGGACATATTATGAATGGTAATCAGAACTATGTTTCACATCCTGCAGAAGACATACAGAAAAGACCCCAAAACTACGACCACTGTAACAAAAGTGAAAATAGTGTAGTTCAGTATCACATGTAATTGAGTTTATGAAATACACTCAAAGACAGCACCCAGAAGACTTTTATATAGAATAGGTCTAATACTTTTCTAATTCCAAAGGGTCAAAAATAGAAGAACAGTGTTTAATGGATAAGATGGAAAAGGTAGGGAGAGGATTAAGGTGGCATCCATCTACTGCACTAATGTGTGTACAGACCCTCTTCATTCACATCTACCAAGGCATCTAGATACCTTGAGTGCATGCATGTGTCCTTTTACTACCATCTCCTAGTAAGAAAACTCTATGAGACTACCAAAATGTAGTTATCTTTGACTCTGACCCTCACAGATATTCTTCATGTGTTCATAAAGAAATGTAAATCCAGAATAACTAGACACATCAAAGTCAAAACACTGAGGAGAAAATGGTCCCAAGACAGCCACAGTTATACCCTTAGAAAGGAAAGAACACCCACCAGCATTTACCTGTGGCTCACCTGACTTCAAGTACTATGCAACTTCACACTGGCAACACACCTTCTCAGGGAAAACCAACTTTGTTGTGTTCGATACTTTTACATTACTCTTGGGAAAAACTCACTGTATTCATAAAAAATGTTTTTATTGGTTGTTGATTAATGAATTCTGTAACATTTGCATCCAGTGGGCTCACACGCACATTGAATTATTTATCATCATGTTCTGCATTTTTCTCCTTTTTAATTTTTTGGTTTGATAAAGTTTTGAATTCAGGGTGCTAGGTTTACAAAGCAGATTCTCTACCACTTGAGCTACACTTCCAGTCTTTTGACTCTGGATATTTTTGGAGATGGGAGCTCAAGAAATATTTGCACTTCACCAAAAACATTGAGATATGAAGATAAGTGAATCCTTGAGAAAAGAAATGAATACCATGGTGGTAGATCAATTTCTCAGCATGAGCAAGGCCACAGGTTCTATCACAAGCACTGGAAAAAACAACTAAGAAAATGATACAAACAAAAGAGGAATGAGCAAAACAAATTCAAGTGTTAATTAAACAAACAAAAACAGGATTACTTGTGTTATTTGTATTGGTTTCTTCCTAGTGTTAACTTCCTATTTCAAACCAACTAAGCAATAACTTTCAAAAAATGCCTATTCCAATTACCAAAGTAAAAGATAATTATAAGACACAATTCAGAAGGAAGAACTTGTTGGACCCTGGAGCCTCATACTTGTCATCCTAACTACTTGGGAGGCTAAAGTCAGTAGGATCATGGTTGGAGGTTATCCTGTTCATCTGGGTGAACCTCACTAACATATATTCAGAAACCACTTAAAGGGTGGTTAACAACCAAACAACCAATGTTGTTCCTATTGTTCAAGATATTCTAAGAGTTTTAGTAATTCTGTAATAGAATTTGTAATAGAGCAAACACAGCTTTTTTAAATATGTCACCCAAAAAAAGTAAATTCTCAAGTGAATAACTTCTTTCTGGAGTTTAGGATCTCTGCTGTAGACCCTAAAGGTCTCTGACTTTCCCAACGTCCATCACAACTTCCACAATTGTCACAAATTACATTGTGACTACACAAATTCTATGAAGGAAAATACAAACAACTGAAAACTTACCCAAGCAAAGTAATCTTGGTAACACTAGTGGATAAGACACCACCCCACCGTCCTTCATGTTCCCATTATATTTAGATGCCCATCAAGGGAATGACACACTTTTGATTCTTCCACATTCCACCTCAAATTCATCATCTTACTTGATCAGCTGAAAAACAACCTTAACTATACACAGTATCCTAATGAAATTCTCTACTCTTTCCAGTCAGTCTCTGGCTCACCCTCAGCCTGACCCACTGTATCAGCCCATCCTTCATTATCACAGGAAACACAGTCTCAGGGCTAAGTATCTCTGGTCCAGGAGCTAATTTGGGCCCCTCTTTTACCCATAACCTCTCAGGTTCTTTTTATTTCATTTTGCTCTTTACTCCTCTTGAAAAAACAGCCCTTCTTTGCCTTGCCCTGAAGCACCTGAACACTCTGTTGTTGGGGTGGTCCTGCCACTGAAACCCTAAGTTCATGTTATGCCTCAATCTTCATTTCAGTGTTGAAAATGGTGTCTAGACACAGGCCAAAGAGAACATCAATTATGTTCATAAACCTTTGATAAATTTCCAATCTCAACCCTCCCATTCAAAACTCAACTCAAGTGCACCACCATTGCAGTGAGTTGTGCAATGTAAGCTCTCTGTAAATTTTGAGACTTAATAGAATCCTAAGTACCACACATCTGGGATCAGGTTATACATTCAAGACCCTGCTACCACATTTTTACATAATTCAGGACCATCAATTTTACCCTGAGAAGTTTGAAAGGAGCAGGGAACACCAAGGATCACAGTTTCAGTTGCAGGGAAGCTACTACCTCCTACCATCACATCATCTGGGGAGAGAATCAAGGGCTCCAGGATGGGTCAGGTTACTCAGAGGTACAGGACAGGTTGACAGGGTCTTGCTCCTCTGTGCAGATCCACATACAATAGAGAGGATGGAGGGCCACAAGGCACTGCAGGCAACTCAGGCCCCAGAATCCAGCGCTGTGCTCAGAAGGCCGAGGTCTCTCACCACTGCATCAAGCAGGTCCAACTTCTTCATCCTCCTGAGACTGGAGACACTGGTCACAAACACTATGTCAGCCTGTTATGGTGATTGGGATTCTTCCCTCCAACCTAGCTGAGCTCATATATGACAGGGGAGTGAGATTCAGTCTCACTGTCTCCATATCAGAAGAATTCTCAGTGATTCAGAAAATGATAGGAACCAGAAAGTCATTTTCCAAAGATTAGGGGGTGGTGCCTCCTCCCACTGGATTCTGGTAGGACAATCTAGACAGTTCTTGCCCTCCAAAGACAGTTCTTTTCATTGGCTCTTGAACCAAAGGCCCTGTCACATTAGATCTGTGTGACAGAAGTTATACATCACGTGGTACAGAGCCTGGACCAATTAGTGATTCCTGGCACAGTCCTTAGCAGACCAGGCCTCCTCCCTAGATCTTATGTTACACAGTGTGAGGATGCACTGTATTTAAGCAGAACTTGAACCTGGCTTTTCCAAAAGAACTCTATTTCTTTCACATAGAAATGAAGCCAGGAGTCTGCTGAGAATATTCCAAATTCACCATCTAAGGATATAGCTCCTGATTTCATAGAAGGATCAATTTGTAGGAAAGGGCCAGGGAGACTTCAACAGAATAGTAAAAAAGGCTTGTTGTCACACTATGTTGGTATCAGTCACTTCTTTTAAGGACAAAAATTTCTCACACCTGTTCCCTCAAGCTATTCATTAACACCCAAGAAAGTAAGAAAAGGCTGGGCACCAGTGGCTGCCACCTGTAATCCTAGCTACTCAGGAGGCAGAGATCAGGAGGATCATGGTTTGAAACCAGACCAGGCAAATGGTTTTTGAGACAATAGCTTAAAAAAAAAAAAAAAAAAAAACCTTCACAAAAAAGCGATGGCAGAGTGACTCAAGGAGTATAACCTTAACTCAAGCCCCAGTTCTACAAAAAGTAAAAGAAAAAAAACAAGAAAGAACATGCCAACAAGTGAGCCCATACTAAGTAGAAGAGAATCTGTAGCTATCCCACCAATTCCATACACTCAAAAAAAACCCTCAAGGTAATAAAAACCTGTGTTCTAGCAGACAGAACCAAATGTGTCTTGTTTTCAGACTGTACTTCACAAGCTTTCTCCACTGTCAGGAGGCACATTCTGACAAGAAGAACTCCATTAATGAAAATGCAAACAACTTGCTGGTGCAGAGGCTCAAGTGGTACAGCAAGTGTGAGACAGAGTTCAAACCACAGTACCACAAAAAAAGAAAATGCAATCAGTTGAAATATTACCAAACCAATGTAATCCTAGAAATCACTCATGATTAAATACATCATTTTTTGTGTTCCAATTACACTTACATGTCTTTCCTCAGGAAACCTAAAACAAGGTAAGACTCACACTTTAGATAATCCAACTTTCTGCCTCAAAAACTTTCCCTTAATTGTTCAGAAGAAACAGAATAGCTAATAAGCAAACATTCCTGAAGATTGTCTCCTTTTTATACTCCTGAATTCTATGACCCACCCTCGACCTGAGGCAATACAACAACCCTTTTTATGGTCACCTGAAGACAATGTCAGCTCAGGGGAAAGGATATTTGATCAAGGTGCTGATGGTTCCCCCTTTGTTATCCTTCCTCTCCCACAGTCATCCACAACAGTATGCCCTCCCTAGAAAGTACAGCCCTGCTCTACCTCACCCTTGAGACCCTGCAGAACTCTGAGTTGGTGCTGCCCTCCTACTGCTACTTCAATATGATCAGTCCCTGTCTCCATCTGAAATTAAAGTTTGAACATACTATCTAGAAAACTTCAATTATGTCAGAGATTGCAAAAACTTCAAACCTTCAACACCTTCCCAACATGTTCCCTTTGTCATGAACCCCACATGCACATGCAGAGGCTTTGCCGTGAGCTGGCCAATGCAAAGACAGCTTCAGGTTAGGATCTGATGACAGCCCTAAGAAGAACTGGGCTGTGGACCTGGCTCTAGTCTGAGATCAGCTTCTAAACACTTAGCTAATTCTGGGCAATCACCAAGGCCACAAGGATAATGGAGGAAGCCCAAGCCTCCCACCCACTGAAGGCTGGGGACACCTAGAGCTCAGGTGATGAGGAGTCCTAACATGGCTCTGGGCGAGGGCTATGTCGCAGCACATAGAGGACAGGATGCCAGACTGTGCCCAGATGAACAGTCCCACCACAGGGCAGAGAAGAACAAATGCAAAACTTCACAAGCAGCGAGTCAGGCCACAAAATGCAGTGATGTACTTGGGAGGACCAGGTCTATACAACCTTTTCAGGTCATTTCTTATGTCCTCATCCTCCTAGGGCCTGGGATGCCAGTTACAAAGAGCATTTCGGGCTTCTTTGGTAAGTGAAGTTCTGCTCACTCAACTGGGACCATGTGCAAGTCACAGTAGGACAGAGACTAAATTACACAGAATTGCTCTCAGCATCACAAAGTGATCCACAAAATGTCCAGAGACCAGAAGGCATTTCCTGTATAAATCAGAGGGTCCTATGTTCTCAAGAACTTCTCACAGGCTAGTGATACAGAAACCACCCCTTGAGATCTGAGTAAAAGAAGAAGTAATCTCCTACCAGGGAGGGTGCATGAGCCAAATAACTGAATCCAGGAACAGCCGTCAACAGTTCAGTCCTCCTCCCTGGTGCCTACCCACTGCAGCCTGGTGATACACTGCAGTGAAGCGGAATCTGCTTTTCAGAAAGGACATTTCTTCAACTGGAAAATGGAGCCTGCAATATGGTGAGAGAATGTCACACTCATTTTCCCATGAGGACACCCTGTGATCTCAGAAAAGTTGTGGTTCTAGGCCAGGCCAGGAAAATGGAAAAACTTTGCATGAAGATAATATCATATCCTCTCCCCACACACAATGAACAAATGACAACAAATATGAAGCAACAGGGAAATTTGCATCTTCAGTTAAAAAAGCATCGTAGGCATTCCTGAGACTGCTTTTCCTAAAAAGAATGGACTCCATACTCAGTCCACGAATCAACTAAAAGCAGGAAAAAACATGGCACCTACCATTTTGAATGAGTCTGTTCTCTGAGTCATCCTCAGCAGTCACCTTGCAGCCCCCTTGGAATCTAGGAAGGAGAAGATAGATATTTTCTTCATAACCTGAAGCGAAATCTATCCCCAACAACAGACCCTCCTTTGGATGGACCATCCTCTGGATAATAACTCCAGAACTTCTCCCATATCAACAGCTGAATTTTAACATCTACACCACACCTGTGACGTTAACTATTTAACTGTGCATATCTTTGCTCTCTGCCCCCAGTTCTTTGCCTATTTAAATCTGTATCTCATGTCTGTACCCTGCATATGGTGAACATGACATGAAAACTTACAATGCCTCATCCCATACCATATTCTAGCTGTGAAGTAATACTCCTTTCCCTGCCTTCACCATGCCTCTTTATTTGAAATTGAAGGATAATTAACTGGACCTACAATGTGCACTCAAAGGAGCTTGTGTCCTTGGTCCAAAATTCTATTTTCAGAATGAGAAAATGACTGCTGAAAAATCTTAGGCAGTGGACTCATTTCACAAAGCCTTTCCTTAGAACTATTTAAAGTAGAATCAAAGGATTGTAGGAAAGCATGCAGAAGAAACAGCAAAGTGGAAATATTATATACAAAGAAGATCATATCAGTGCAGACTTAGAAATCATCAAAGGATTACACAGAGAGCATGAAGATGGATATACAAGTTCAATGAAACCATCATTAGAGGTGCTTAATGGTGGACTAGAGGAAGAAGAATAGAGTCAGCATGAAAATGACTGAAATGATGCAGCTAGAAGAGAAAGAGAACACTTTTAAATTCACAGAATGTACCACAGGTATCTGAATTTTGTAATGGTTGAAAGATCTCTAGAGAGAAACAAAAACATATGAGCTAAGAACTTAGATCACATAAAGAAAGACAGTGTTAGGAAATTAGAAATGAACAAAAATTCTTTACTTTCTTCCTCACTACTGGTACTAAAGGACAACCTTTTCCAAAAGTCATTCAAAGTGAATCATGGACTAGGTGATCATCCCTTGTAATATGAACAATCAGTAAGAACAATGACATATGGGTTGAAGAATAATAGTGGGGAACATAGCAATATATCTGCCCTGTCCATGAAGCACCACATCTTTATTTGAAATGCATTTAACTTACTTGAAAAGGATTTTATGTTTGGGAAATTACTAACAATACATTTTAAAAGTATTTAGTATTATAAAGGGGGATAGAAAATGTGATAATATAATTAATAAATTACTGCACCTGTCCGACTGGCTCAAGTGGTGTAGTGCTTGCCTTAGCAATCACAAGACCCTGAGTAATAAATAAGTAAATAAGTAGGTAAATAAAGGACTTCAGCAAGATTGTACTACACCAGCTATATGCAAAGCACATCATTTTGCTAAATTTATAATAATCCTCTGAACTTCACACAATAGAATACCATTTACACAGAATGAAGGAACGGTAAAAGAAAACTGACATGCAGAGATAGGGTGAGATGGGAGAGATAGTAACATGAAGGAACAAGCACAAAAACTGCTCAAAACCAAAGGTTACCAGCATAGTACAAAAAACAGCATACAAAGAAGATGTTTAATGCTAAATGGACAAGTGGAATAAATCAGAACATCCACATATTTTCAAATCACAGAACAAGCAAACAATAAAATGTTAGATAAAATCATACATTACCAAAACTTTGCAGTAAATTTAATATATCCATACTCTACAGAGCACCAATGCCACAACCCCCACCCTAAAAGAATATTCTGCTAACAGGGTATAACACCAGGGCAATATTACATAATTAAAATGAGCAAAATCTTTTGGGTCAACCTTACCACAAGGGACATGGTTTATGAGCTTGAGTCTTTGGGAAAAATCTATTATTCCAGAAACTGTTGTCATGCACCCACTGTGAGGTGAGGGAAATACTCAGAGTCATCTAACATCCTGTGACCTTACTGAGCTATCTTAATCTTTGTCAATGTACATTGACTTTCCATTAAATGCAATTTTTATTTTCAGAAATCTTCTGATCTCTTCCACCATTTTAGTTTTGCTGAGATTTTCTACATGATTTATGCCTAACTGCTACGTATGAAGTCTATTCAATGTGTACTCTTTCCTTCATGAAACTTCCTTCACTTTGGCTCAACTCCAGTGCCTTCATCTCACACAAGACATAAGTACCAAGAATGGACACTGGTAACATTACCAAACATTGCCCCAAAGACCCCAAATGTTATGACTTGTGCTGTATTTCTTTGCCATCACTTCTCGTAACAAGTGGTGTTACCAACACCAAACCAACTTTCAAATACCAGCTAATAGTCCTTCAATTCAAATCTGACAGCATCCAGAATTAGCACAGTCCCTCCAACTTCTGGGCAGTGTGAAAGAGACAACAAGCCATAACACTTGTTTGCTATATCTGTTCAAGCCAGTCACCTTCCTAATGTTAGAAAGATGTACCACCCTGAGACCCGCCATTAGAATAAATGCAAACATTGCCTCAATGCGGCTTAGGAAAACAACCAAATACACTCCTATTGCCTCAGATTTTTCAAGAATTTCACAATCCCTGTGCTAGAAACTGACACAAGGACCAAAACCTTTAATATATACTACACACTCACATCCCCTTCCAAATACACCAACTTTTGCCACATCAAGAAAAATATATAGGTGTCTTTCTCTGAGCCTGGGCCTCCAAGACTTCTCTTCATTGGCACAAATTACACTCTGTCTAACCAATTACTTCAACACAAAATGAAAGTAGTGCAAAAATATATTCTGAATGTTGCAACCATCATAAATAGCTGCAATTAAACCACACTTCCTCTCATTTCCACACTAGCAAAGGAGCACAAAAGCAACATTCATCCCATTACCCCATTTGTAAACGCAGATACTCCTCCACACACTTTCCAAATGCCTTCTTTTGCATCAAAAATTATTAGGAAGTAATCATCACAAATACCTTCAAAATCATTTGTAAATAGTAGTAAGATGATTTGACAAATCTCAGCCTGAGTCACCAAACAAATCACACTTTAGAGTCACCATAAGATCAGGAAGAACCCAGGTCCCTGTGGTTCACACCTGTAACCCTAGCTTCTCAGGAGAGAGAGAGAGAGAGAGTGAGACAGAGAGAGAGAGAGAGAGAGAGACCAGGTTTGTCTTGGTTCAAAGCCTGTGCTAGCAAGAATTTCTTCAGACTCTATCTCGAAACAACCCATCACCTAAAAGGTCTAGTGGGGTCACTCAAGAGGTAAGAGCACATGCCTAGCAAGCGTGAGGACCTGAGTTCAAATCCCATTGTACTCAAAAAACAAAGACCATGAAGATCCTAGCACTGGTAGCTCCTTCCTATAAACCTAGGTACTGGGAGACTGACATCAGAATGACAGTCAAAATCAGCTTAGAAAAATTGTTTACAGACTTCATTTCCAAAACAACCACAGCAAAATAGACTGGAGATATGGTTCAAGCAGTAGACCTCTGCTCTGTAAATGCAAAACTATGATTTCAAATGTCAGTCTCCAAAAATAACACAAGTAATAAAGACACAAGACCAAGATGATCACAGGAGGAAACTGATTTTGCCAATCTCCATGTCTGTCTATACTAATTTATTTCTTCTGTGTTCTCCTCTCTGCGAGAGCAAATTGCCTTTCTGCCTTGAGGTGTCTACATTCCTTATTTTTGGGGCTTTCCACCTAGAGTAATTCTCTTGAAGTCATGGTCTAAGTTAATTTGCATTTCATTATAAAACAATATTCTAAAAACAACCAGTGGACAACGAACAGTCAGGAAGGGCAATAACCCTCCACTCAGAAGGCAACCACGTACACATGCGGATTCGCATTTCCAATGAATCTGACAAACTACAGGATTTGTGGAAATGACGGATTTATTGCTAGCACTAAGAAGTACTGCATTGAGGGGACAAGGCACAGAGTTTAGCCCATACTTCTCCTGAAGCTGAAGGATTCAAGGGGAAGCAAGGTCCCAGTAAAGAGTTATGGAGACACTGCACAGAAGCGCCCTATCCCAGCAAAAACTCCGGAAGTGCTGGGGAGGCTCCGCGGCCACCTCAGTCTGCTGGACAGGGAATTGCAAACAGAGTCTCCCACCAGGAAAGTGGTCTGGGAGCAAGTCGCCTCACAGGGACACAGGACGGGATTCAAGTCTTTAGTCCAGCGGCACCTTCCAGGAGACAGTGGACCTAAGACCCCAACCATATGATCAAGGCGCAGTCTCCAGAACAGACAGGGTCCAGTCAAAACCACCGCAGCTTCGGGATCCAACAGTCCCGCCACCCAGCACTGCGGATGCCCAGCCACCCTCTCACCATTTCCCGCCTCCGACGCGTCCAGGTGACCTCCCTATGGTCCTGCAGTCAGAAGAGTTCACACAGCTGCTGGAGCTGTGCAGCCTGCACAATGTCCCCCCAGCAGGCGCATGGCAAATATGGCGACAATGAGGAAGGCAAGGTGAATCTCCTAACACTGCCGCTCCTCATTGGATGGCTGGTGCTTACGATTAAACAGCCGCTCTGATTGGCTAAGGCACGAAGCGCCCACCCACCAAGTCCTTGAGTGACGGGGAGGTGGAGTGGGGAAGCAGTGCTAAACTGGTGAGTTGCAAATGACAGTCCAGCTGTCCTTGCCAATCAGGCTCCTTTGTTGGAGATATGTTTTAGTTTATTTGATAATTACTCTCAGCAGAAGTTGTCCTGACCCTAGGGACCCAGGGCCTGCCTCTCATCATATGCACTGTGACCTTCTTGTATACTCCCCTTGAAAATGGGAGGACAGCTTTGCTCAGATAATTCTAGTCTCAATATCCCACCGAAAAAATTCATCAGGTCAGTTAAGGTGGGGAGATTCAGGTAGGCTAGGACACAGGAAGTCGATGCAGGGCTGATGCTCAAACTCTGGAAACTGGAATGAAGCAGATGGCCAGGGCTTTCTCACACCAAAGAAAATAAATACACATTGCCAAAGAAGTGTCATCTGACAGGTCTCCCAGCAGCAAGCGCATGGCAAATATGTGGATGATGTTTTAGGTAATGTAAACGTGCTACCACTATCTGCAGAATAGCTAAGGTTACAGGCAAGAGCCACCAGTCCTTGGCTTAAGTTCCATTTAATTGTGTATTCCCTGTATTCCATTTTGTTCTCACTATTAGGATATCAACTATTTTATTATTTTTTATTTGTTAATGTTAATTCATTTTGCAATGTGTACTTGCAGTTTATGTTAATGCAGTTTGTTCCTTTTGCTTCGTGTGTGTGTGTGTGTGTTGTGTGTGTGTGTTACTGAGTTTAGCCCAAGACCTTGTAATAGTTAGCAAAGCTGTCCAGTGATGAGCTACATCCCTGTATCTTTTTATTTTGAGACAGAATCTCACTAAACAATCCTGACTGGCAGCCAATTGATAATCTTTGTGCAACATCCCCCCCTTAGTGGCTGGGATTTTAATTGTATAGGAACACAACTGAGTCTTTCATCCACATTTTTGTGATTCTGACATTTGAACTGGGGCCTAGCACTTCCTCAACAGACACATCAAAGGCCTGCAGTATACTATCAAATAACATTAAACAGCCTCACAGTCAATGCAGGTATCATGCAATGCTCCAGTGTCTTCCCTTCCATAACATATCCAGTTGCTCTCATTCATCATTTCTTTTCAGAAACCGTAAGTACCCAGTACTTGCATTTATAGATGATAACAAATGTGAATATATGATTTTGCAGACAGGAGGCATGGCTCAAGTGTTAGATCATGTGCCT